TACATTGGTCGCACAAAAGTAAAAAGCCAAAGCAGCATACCAAAATACTAGAGAAACAAATTGAACCAATCATCATCCCACTTTTCACATGCATAAGCAGCACCCTGTCTTTTCGTATACTGATCCAACTCAAACCCATTACTAATAATGTAATTGTAAACCCTATTAACCCCCTAATCGATTTCGAGCTAGTGCAAGCCTTCACTAACGCATCATAAACACTGGCCACCAATTTATACCCGTCGTCAAACTCTAAAATCTCGAACAATTGAAGTAAAAAAAAAAAAAAGAAGAAATTTAGGGCAAAGATACATTAGCACCTGTTATCAAATACTAGTATTGAAATCAAGGGAATGTAATACCTGTTATTCAGGTAACGAACACTGCAAAAACAAAGCCCAAATCACCAAACCAAAATATTAGAAAAAGAAAACCAAATGACCATGTATGAAGCTGAAATCTTCCGAGAAGTTACAATACCTGTTCTCCAGGTATACCAGGAAACCTGAACCAGATATTCGCTTATTCTGTTTTCATTATATACTGGGAGAAAATTTATAGCTTTCATAGCTTCATACGAATTTAGGATTCAAAACAAGGTTTCCGCTGGATACGGACGCGAACCAATTTGAAAGAAAGAAGGATAAGGTTTTGAATAAACAATGAGATTAATCTGCAAGATACCTGATAAACCATCTAATGGCATCATTAAAGATTTAACTTATCTACGAAAATCAGCTACATGGTTGAACACTGCAGAGGATCGGAAATCTTATTCTTAGAATTACTAAATTTACATAGTTATATCTTTTTCAGCCTATTACATTTATGTTTTTTTCCTGTGTTTATAATTGTTTAGTTATGGAAGGAGCTATCATTGCGAAGTGCACTTTTGAGAGCAAGACCCTTTTAATTCGAGTATTTAATCATACTAAGTTCAAGGATATTGCTGAACAAATTTGTTCCTGATTTGTGGGATTAAGTCCTGAAGTCATGGAGTTGACGTACTCTCTAGGAGAAAACCAATCTCGTTTGCTGCAATCTGACATGGGTGTGAGTGTAATGAAATTTTCATGTTGTGCTGAAAACATAGCATCTATTCCTGTCAGTGTTTCCATGGTTGAACCAATTGAGCAACTTGATCTCATTTCTTCCCCACATGATAAACATATTTTTACATATGAAGGCTTAAAAGCCTTAGATGATCGTGCAGATTTAAGGAAGTTTGCCACTCCTCATGGGAAGACATATTTGTCCCATGCTTGGAGAAACTACATTAGCCATGTTGGTCAAGAATTTCCAGGTGGTGTCAAGGAGTTCAGACAAAGATTGATGAAGTATGCAGTTGAAAAAGGTTTTAGGTATGTCTATGTAAGAAATGATAGTGAACGTGTTACTGCCGAATGCTTCAATAAAGATGATGAGGGTTGTGTCTGGCATGTGCATGCCATTTTGAATCGTCCTAGCAAGTTATTCTACATTAAAAGTCTGAATAATGTACATACATGTAAAGCTAGGTTTCGTGATAAAAAAAGCATCAAGAAGGGTTCCAAAATTGTGGTGTCGATCCTTGTTGACGAGATTCGAAACAATCCAATTGTAAGACCAATCGATGTTGTTAGAGATTTCAAGAAAAACTATGGTATAGCTATTTCTTACTATAATGCTTGGTATGGTAAAGAGTTAGCAAAGATGAAGGTCCATGGTGATGATACACAGTCATTCAGACAACAATTATGGTATGCAGAAGCCGTGCTAGCAACCAACCCAAGCTCCCATGCCCAGCTTGAATATAATGATAGTTCATGTCGGTTAAAGCGTTTATTCATTTCATATAATGCTAGTATTGAAGGGTTCAAATTCTGCAAACCTTTCTTGTGCCTCGATGGAACGTTTATAAAAAACAAGTATAAAGGTCATTTGTTGGTAGCCATTGGAAAAAATGGTAATCAAGGTATGATTTAGACATCTACTTATATTATAGGCTGCATGAAGGCTAATAATGTTTTTTTTTTCCACATTGATAGGTAGTTTAAATGTTTATCCATACATGTTGACAAAATTGATCATTTTGTTAATTTTGCTCCATGTTAAGTAGTTTATTAATAGAGTCTCAAACAGTAATATATGAGAAAGTATTGTTTTATAACTTTATACATGTTGTTGTAAAACAATTTGTGAATGACAATGACTTATACTGAGAGTCCTTGAAAGAGTAGTTGACTTGGCAATCAAGTTGATGAAATCTTCCATGATTCTCGGAACCTTAAAGAAGTAAATATATTGGAGTCCTAACATCTTGCAATCAGTTTAGGGTCCATTCATTAAGAGAATATAAGGTAAATGAGTCATGATAGGACTGATTGATTAGAGAATATTAGGGTGGATATCCTTTCCGTTAATAGAGTGGAATCGATAGAAACCCTAAGTAAATAATCAAGAAGCAGTCCCTGCTTCCATACCGCTGAATCTCAAAACACTACAAACCTATTTCGCTAGTTGAGTTCATAAAAGAGGTATTGGAAGTAGAAGGCTGTTTCGATCTCACACCAGAAGCGGCCATGGCATCAGGTAAGTGTCTCATGTTCGTATGCATGCATGTCGATAATGCCATGCAGTGTGCGTATGCAGGATTGGCTGCATATTGTTCTTCTATATATTGTTCTTTTGTAATCCTAATACATGCTGTTAGGTTCTTGGGACATTCCTACAGTTGTGTCCATCCCTTAATTGTTGTAGCATGCTCTCGTTTGATAAGGGGTATCAAATACTTTATGCTTTGCAATGTCCCAAATAGTATTATATGAAATTTAATTAACATAAGAATTTAATTATCTACAATGCTGGGTAGTTTATGTTATATAACTTGTTCTTATGTAGTATGAAGGGAAGGAAGGATTCCCTTGTTCTACAAGTTGATAAAAGTTGTGCACAAGCTATCCTAGTAAAACTTGAATATGTTACCAATTTGATAATATGTTAAATCATTTAAGAGAATACCCCTTTGGAAACCTGTATAATAAATCCGACATAGATGTAGTGAATATGCTGGTCTTGTTCAGAAATTTCAGAGACATATACTTTACCTCGAGTGTTGTTCTGAGGTGTTGAATGAAAAAATTTGGGACTGAATCCTTCTTAAGTTTATAGAAATATTCACCTCTTTTCAGCTATCAGTTTTTCTTAAAATAATTTCTTCTGCAACTTACAAAACTGTCGCACATGTTGCATGCATTCGAAGAAATTTTTTGGATGTATAAATTACATATTGTGACTGTCGTTAGAAGCAGTACAGAAAAACATAATGAAAGAGATGGTATCTATGTGGAAATAGTGCTTACGAAACTGACCCTTTATTATAACTTGTTCTTATGTATTCATCCTTAACAGATTTTTCTCTAACATGTTCTTCTTCCTCAACACATGGCTCAGGGTTTTTCCCGCTAGCTTTTGGCATTGTGGACTCTAAAAACGAAAACAATTGGACATGGTTTTTGGAAAATTTAGCAGAGATATTGCTTCCCCAAGGTCGTACGGTTACATTCATATCAGACCGCAACAGAGGTTTACTTGAGGCTGTTTCCACCGTTTTTCCAGAAGCACCACATGCATTTTGCATGTTTCATTTGAAATTGAATATACAAAGTAAATATCCAAAGCAGATGGGTTTTGGTTATGGTGAAGTCATTGCTAACCTGGTCCAAAAATGTTGTTACGCTCCATCCCAACTTGTGTTTGATCAGGAAATGAAAACTCTCATCAAGGATGGTGGTACAATAATTCAGAAATTTTTTCAACACACCCAAAGAAAACTGGTCCAATGCCTACTTTAGGGGAAAAAAATATGGTGAAATGTGCTCTAATATTGCAGAATCCTTCAATTCTTGGATTTTGGATGAACACAAGATGCCAACTTACCAAATGATTGATAACATACGTGTGAAGTTGATGGGGATGAGTTCTGATAGGCAACGTGAACCCGAAAGATGGACCTCACCAATATGCCCAACAATGGATGACGAAATGATGAAAATGGTTGAAGTTGGAAGACATTGGAATGTGTGTCGTTCAAGTGAACATATTTTTGAAGTCAGAGATGAGTATTCTGTCATGGTGGACTTACAAAGTCATACTTGTTCTTGTTATCAGTGGAAAATTAAAGGGTTCCCTTGTGCACATGCTTTGGCAGCTATTTTGAAAGATGGAGGTAACCCATATGATTATGTCGAAACTATTTCACAACAGATTTTTATAAGTCTTCTTATTCATATCCCATCATTCCTGTACCTGATATTGAAAAGGATGAACAATCTATGAGTTAGGAGTTTGTGATAGAACCCCCATTGACAAAGAGGCCCCCAGGTAGACCAAAGGTTAAAAGACTAAAATCTATTGGGGAAGAAACACGCCCTAACAAGTGCAGTAGGTGTGGTGATGCTACACGCCACAACCAGAAAACTTGCAACGCCCCTATTTGACATGCATCTCCATTGCCATTTGGATTTTTTTTTTCAAATATATGAACACATGATTTTTATTTATATTTTTTATCAATGTAATAAAATGATGCCTATTTTTTAGTTTACTCATATTCTTCTTTTTTCCATTATCTACTTAGATGTCATATGGCTTATGCAATCTGTGAAGACTACATATTTATTATGATATCATTACTAAACCTTCCAAATCAAACCTATATATACAAGCAGCCATAAGATGTTAAATTTTATCCTACCTATCAATTTGGCTTACAATATAAACTACCTATCATTGTAGAATATGATTTTTACTTTCACAATTAGTTGTACAGGTATATTACTTTTTGGGACGGTTTTGAACTACCTAACATGTAGGAAAATTACCGACAACCATTTTTTATCAACAATTCAACAATACCTATCCTTATACAATTCGAAAGTACACCAGACGAACTATGTCCAAATAATGACAAAATAACATTATCTGAGATTACAAACTAATCTTATTGTGCAATCAATAAAGGAAAACATGAAGAATATCCCCCTTCAATTGAAATTGAAATTAAAAAACAGATATGACAAAGCATATCTCAGTTCACATAACACTCAAACTTATCTAGCAGAAAATGAATTCGGATGGATTGGAGTCCCATCATTTTATTAAATTGAAACACTTAAATGAAACAAAAACTCAAATTTTGCAGAACATCTTTATCCTACTCTTCCTTTTCCCAGCTACCATCTCCCTCATTTATGAATTTACAAAGGACATGTGTTCTCATATTCTTCATCGCCTATGCTGAAAAGACACATTCGACTAATTCTCCATCATTTTTTTTTGTGCAATATACATCATAACAACTCCACAGTCATAACTGTTTAACAAAAAAAAAAGGGTATGAACTTAAATATTACATTCTATCACCAAGAAACCAACAAATAGGCATAATACAGATGAAATTAACACTTACAAGTTAGGGAATTGTTGTGAGCATGATATGTTTGCTTTAAGTGGATACTCAACATTAGTTTGCCTCAACCACATGAGAAATTCTCTGTCATCATGGCTAAGCGTGTACAACAACATCTGTACCTTATCACCTTACATGATATGTTTGCAAATAGAGTTCTTATTGAGCTTTCTTGAAATACTATCTTTCATGTGCTTAAAGTAGTCAGAAATTTTCACATGCTAAAAAAAAATAAAAAAATAAAAAAAGAACACATTACAAAGTTAGTGTGTGAAATAAAATTCGAAGGATAAGAGGTATACTACATAGTTATCAACTTACCAATTTTTTAGCCTCTTCAAAATAAGGATCCACAAACATATTCAACTTGGTTTGTAATGTGTTGTAATGTTCCCACCATCCACTTTGTTTGTTGAACACAAGCAAAGTATAATGCATTCCCTTGAAATGGTTAATCGGAAAGAAAACATAGTCGTTCTCCCGTACCTTTTTCAATAGAAGTTCAAGATAAATATATATTTTCACTGCAGAATTCGATTCATCCACAATATCCTACAAGCCAACATGGATTAGAAGCACAGTAGCTAAAAAGTAATATACCTATACAACTAATTATGACGTAACAATCATATTCTACAAGGGCAAGTAGAAGATTCTCTAGATTAATGCTAGAAGATCAAAATAAAAATGGATTACTGTGTTACAAGGGCAAGTAGTTTGTATTTACCACAGATACTAATAAAAATGGATTAGAAAAAAATAATAAAAATCAACATTTGACAATTACACTACTCATTACTAAATAGCATTGGTTGTTCTAATTCCATAGTTATGGACGGTATTAAACTAACTAGAATGGGAAAATTAACTGCAATGTTTGAGGAACTAAAATTTATGTACCCACGCAAATGTCGGCATAAACCCATATTTCAGCTGATCTTTTGGAATCCCAATTTGGTTGTCATTCAAAATTTCGAAAAAATAATCAACTACCTACGGAAAGAACCAAAACATCTTATGAATCATTTGTAAACCTTTCATTCAAATATAATTGTATTCATTGCTATCTAAGTTAAATAATTATAAAAATTACAAATACATGTCAACTAACACCACCCTCATTCAAGAGTGCGAGGATATCATCACGGATCACTGCACAATGCTCTCCTTTCCACATTGAAACCCTATATATATGTATATAAATATAGTTCAAACAGCATAATCAACAACTTGATAACTAACAGGTAAAAAAATATAAAATAGAATAACGATGAAAAATTATACACTACCTATCATCATTCAAATCTAGAAATTGTTTCAACTTCTCTGCATACAGTATTGGAAGACACTTGCCCACTCGTAGCCTACGCACAGCTATTGTCTTCATCGGTGCCATTATTTTTATGTTCCCATATTCATGCATTTGAATTGCTCGTGAACCAACATAATTTTTATCCATATGAACTACCATTTTTTTATTAACACAAGCATCATACTTGTAATCTGGCATCAACAAGGGCTTCCTTTGTTTTAATTTCACCCGCAAAATCATTGAGTTTTGTTTTGGAGATTTATCTTTTACTATGTAATTTTCCTTACATTTCAGCTCCTCCTTCAGATTCTTGTTTTCAATGGTAAGCTTCATAATTTCTGAACGGTAGTCCTCCACCAAAAGACTCATCTCTTGTAATTTTCTCTCCAAGTCATTAAGGTCCGCCTTACTGTTGGAAGGCTCTCCCAAGTTGTTTTCCATAAATTCTGATGGCAGTATATCAAATATTGGGAGAAATTCTTCATCTAACACTTTGTGAGGCTCCACATTTATCCCCCTACCATGTGAACACAGATTGCCCCCACCTACTTGTACAACTTCCTATAACATAAACACACCATGTTTAATTTTATTAAAGTACATAAGACTTTAGTTACATAATTTGTTCAAACAATAACATACCTACTCCAACATGGATTAAAAGCACAGTAGCTCACTAAGGAATTCGATTAGAATGGGAAATCCAAAAACGAACCAACTCATAGTCTAGCTCACTCATGGATTAGATTAAAATGGGAAATCCAAAAACGAGCCAACACAGATTAGAATAGAAGCACAGTAGCCAAAAAGTAGTATACTTGTACAACTACTTGTGATGTAAAAATCACATTCTACATGGGTACCACATGTGTGTTGACAAAAATGGTATCAAGTAATTTTCTTACCATGGTATGTACAACTAATTGTTATGTAAAAATCATATTTTACAACGGTAGGTAGTCTAATACTTTGTTTTCAGTAGAAGTTCAATAAAAATTATTGTAGCTAATTTCTCTACATGATATGTAGTTTAATACCGTTGCGCTTAATCATACATGTACAACTAATTATCATGTAAAAGTCATATTCTACAATGATAGGTAGTTTATATTTTTAAACCAAATGGATGTGTGGGATAAACATACCTCCAACTCATGGATCTTCATAATTTCCATCTTTGCATACAATTCCGACAAATTCCATTTAACAACCCTAAGAGGCATATTTTCCCTTCCTCTGATTGGATTGATCAAATGAGTACGCTCACAAAACCAGAACTGCATCAGTAAGATATTAATATGTTATTTCATTTGAACACAGACATAATAAAATGAAATAAAATGTAGATTAACATACCAATAATCCAATTACACAACCAGTTACACTTTCGTAACGTTCTCCCATATTATCAATTGTGCCCAACAACCAATTATTTACTGCTAGCCCACACATAATCCTTCATCTTGGTAATATCCTCAACGTACCCAACCATGTACAAACTAGTATTATTTCCACTCGTACTGAAAAACAGTGTCAAGCAAAAATATAAACAAACCAGTCGCACAAAATCACCCTCATGCACACTACCATGCAACTTAACCACTCTCAAAATCCTTTCTTCCAATATCTTCTTACTTATATCTTTGATGTCTGCAAGACATCTCTCATAAAAACCTCTAAACGCACTTTTGCAGTTCCTACTATTCAAGTTGATCTCTTCCCCTTCATCAGGCAACCCGAAAATCTCAGCTATATCTTTGACAGTTATTGTTGCAATTATTCCACCAAAAACAAATGCTTTTTGTACTGGGTCGTAGAACTTCAATATAGACACAATATTTGCATCACATTTCCTGCAAACACCATCAATGATCAAATTCTCATGGTACGCTTTGAACAACCTCCCGAACGGTGTATGATTCATTAACTCAAGATGCGCATTTGTCACACTAAGTCTCATTTCTTCCATAACGCGATGAAACTTCAAAAGGTCATACTTGTACTCCAGGCTTATCTTTTTTTTTTTTCTCTCCATGCAAAACATCTTCGGCCACAAGTAATACAAAGTTTGCTATAAGCATGATTATTCCAAAACATACTAAATAAAACCCAAATGATAACATATCAAGCCAAACTACATATCATATTTACATAAGTAATGTTAAAAAGAGACCAATTTAACAATCTGAACTAATTATTTTAAAAGTAACTCTACAAAATAAACGACGTATCAATTTAAACTACCAATTATTAAAGTTCCAAATACTAAAACACCAATTATTAAAGATGAACTATAGTACCTATAATCTAGGTATCAAACACCATAAAAGTAAAAAGCCAAAGCAGCATACCAAAATACTAGAGAAACAAATTGAACCAATCATCATCCCACATTTCACATGCATAAGCAGCACCCTGTTTTTTGTATATTGATCGAACTCAAACCCATTACTAATAATGTAATTATAAACCCTCTTAACCCCCCCCTAATTATTTCAAACTAATGCAAGCCTTCACTAACGCTTCGTAAACACTGGCCACCAATTCATACTTGTCGTCAAACTCTAAAATCTCGAACAATTGAAGTGAAAAAAAAAAAAAAATTTAGAGCAAAGATATGGTAGCACCTGTTATCAAATACTGATATTGAAATCGAGGGAGTGTAATACCAGTTATCCAGATAACAAACATTGCAAAAACAAAGCCCAAATCATCAAACCAAAATATTAGAAAGACAAAACCAGATGACCATTATGAAGCTAAAATCTTCGAGAAGTTACAATACCTGTTCTCCAGGTATACCAGGTAACCCGAACTAGATATTCGCCTATTTTGTTTTCATCATATACTGGGAGAAAATTTATAGCTTTCATAGCTTCATACGGATTTAGGATTCAAAACAAGGTTTCCGCTGGATATGGACGCAAACCAATTTGAAAGATAGGAGGATAAGGTTTTGAATATGAGATTAATCTGCAAGAGACCTGATAAACCATCTAATGGCAATTGTTGTAATTTTGTTGGTAAATTATGTGCATTTTAATTGCTGACATGGATGATTGTTGTACTTACTAGCCCCCCCCCCCCCACTTATGCTTATGTAATATAAGTGGATTCCATTCAAAACAGGCTTATAAAATTGGACCCATATCAAGAGACCCCTTCTTTATTTAACTTTTTTGACATATATATTTTTTAAATTGTTTATTTGATAATTTTGTTGAAAAATTGCTTATTTATAATTTTGGTATTCCACGTCAGAAAATATAGGCATAGCATTTGCCATGTCATAATTTAACGGATCAATTAACAGAAGTATGACATTGCAACAAATTTATAAGTTGACGTATGACATTGCAACGTTTAAAATATGAGGTATGAGATTGTGGTGCGACTCTTAGTTGAAGTAGTTTTATATAATTTACCATATATGTTTGATTCTGTTTACAACTTTATTTAATTATTTATATTTGATATTTAGTTATGTAGTTGAATTCGATTTCTATATAAACTGTATACTTGTATTTGATTGATTTTTGTCACATGTTAAATGCATACCACCTACTGAACCATGAATTGAACATGTTAAATGCATGTCTATATATCATCCATTCTACTTTCTGCAACTCTGCCCGCCGAGATTTAATTTAACTGTTGATGGTTGTATAATCCAGTTACTGATAGATTATATGGCCCGTTGTGATGTCAAAACAGTAGGGCATATTTCACATTGCCCTTAGCGATCATCTCCTTTTATCCCTACTTAGGGATGCGCAACAGTTATGGTGGACAGGTAATCGCAGTTATTTATCCATAACTGTTTATGCTCATATCCAAGTAACCGTTTACCCGTTGGGTAATTGTCTAAACAGTTATACTCACACTCATAACCGTTTATAAACGGTTAACTATATTCACAACCGCATATTTATTTAACTGTAACTGTTTATCCGTTTACCCATTTTTCTAACAAGTTGAAAATCAAAAAAGAACTTTGTCATAATTTTAATAATAGGAACTTTGTCACAATTAAATGCTGGTATATGAATATTTAACATGCAATTTCGTATTTTAATTTCTTAAGTCCTCGTACCATTCTAAAAACTAAATTAATAGGAACTTTGTCATCAACTTTTTGTCACCAAAAGAATCCTACAAAAGAAATATGAATTAGTTTCCATGATTAATCAACAGTAACTCTAAAATAAAACAAAATTAAAGATTAATGAAGTCGGCAGTAAGTATGCTTCAGCTAATACCAGATGATGTTGGGTTGTCATGTCAACAATTGAGACAACATCAGCCCATGATACATGCGGAATGATGACCAATTGCAAAGGTCGCAACCGATGAGTACAAGGTTCTAAAAAACGTTAGGGGCTAGTCGGACGGTGGGTTAGCGCCTAGCGCCTAAGCGGCTAGGCGGGATCTAGGCGGATTTAGATAAATTTCTTATATATTATATGAATTAATTAAATTTACTATATCAGATATAAATAATTATTGAATAATATATTATTTCTTATAGAAGAACATACATATGTGAATGTTTTATGTACATATCTAATATGCTTGCCTAGGAAAAAAAACAAAATATTATATAAATGATTTATAATTTATAATTTATATAACATTTATATACATATAATATACATCCCAAACTTTTAAAACTATAAAAAAAAAAACCCCACGTAAGTGGGTGGTTTCATATTTAAAACCATCTAATGAGTGGGTGGTTTCATAATTAAAACCATCTGACTCTTTCTCATCACCCAAGAACCCATCACCAACTTTTGAATTTCGTTTCTTCTTCTTTACCCTTTCAGAACCTAATCTTTTATTCTTTCTCTCTATCTTTCTCTCTTGGCACTCTCTTCCCTCATGCCTCATCTTCGTTCTTCTTCTTCGGCCTTTCACTTTCAGAACCTCAAAATTGGATCTCAAATCTAACTTGCACCACCACAGATTGAAATTTTTAATACTCTCTCTCTCTCTCTCTTCCCTCATCTTCACAGAGATGCAAAAATTCACCGGAGCTGTGCTGCTATGTACGAGATCGGAAGTTGTAGATCCGGTAGCAAAAATTGCAGCGAGATTTAAACTGCCTAGACGATTGCCTAGCGCCGCCTAGCCCTCCTAAGGCACCTAGCAAGCGCCTAGGTAGCCGCCTAAGTCCTCCCCGCCTATTGAACGTTTCGGTCTAAATCGGGTCAGAGCTCCGCCGCCCAGCGCCTAGGCCGATTTTTAGAACATTGTACATTGTGAAGGCAACAACAACCCATGTTGCGAAGGCATTGAGTGGAGAATTGAAAGGCAGCATCCCAGATGAATGGCTTGTTACAGCAATCCGGTTTTCAAAAGAAAGATCGATCACTTTGTTGTGGATGTAGGTTTCAGCTGCCCCGTACCTAGGTATTCCGTATTCTTAATGATCTAATGAAGGTCAATAATTTTGGTGAGAATCGTCGTCATCCACGACTAAAAGTGGGCAACAAACCAATTGTTTTGGCGGAAATGAGAGAGAGGGCAGTGAGGAGAGAGATAAGTGGCGATGGGAGTCTCGGAGAGGTCGAATAGTTTTTAGGGTAAATATTAGTTTATTACCTTCATGTTTCGTGGTTTTCAACATTTAGTACATCAAGTTTTTTTCGTCCCAGAGTCATACCTGAAGTGTAAATTTTAGGACAGTCTCATACATCCGTTAGTCAAACTGTTAAGTTTTCTATTAACTGATGACGTGACGCCTATGTGAAAAATAACTAGATGCCACGTGTCATTAACAAATATTAAAATAATTAATTTAAAATAAAAAATAAACTTGAACCCCCTTCGTCTTACCCACTTATCCACCCCTCTATCCCCTCACCCACAGACACCCTTCCTCTTCCCTGATACCCACCCCTACCACCAAGCCTTTTCTCCTTCCCCAAAAACCCAGCCCTTCCCTTCCCCCAAAATTCCCTCCCTCATTTCTCTTCTTTGCAAATCTAAACAACAAAACAACCCTCACACGAACTCTCTGCAAATTCAAAAATTCTAATTTCAAACTTAATTAAAAAAATGAAGTGCAAATCTATCTGTGCACTGCAGAACCTCGAAACGATGCGGTTCCTGGAGGCGAAGAATAAGCTCCGGTCAGTGTTCCCTCGCCGGAGGCGACCTCAGATCTCGCCGATTTACTCAACCTTTGTTGTGGCTTTGTCCATTAGTGGGTTTCTATCTTTCCCTCTCCCTCTCTCTTCGGATATATTCTCTCTCACACAAGCACACTAGCGTTGTAAAACGCAGCAACAGAAGGCTCGAAAATATCTTGGAGACAGTTTTGAAATTTCTTCTAGAAACCCAGAAGACTTTGGGGGTAGTTGGAGAAAATTTGGAAAGTGGGGTGTGTACCCATTCATCTTTTTAATCTAATTGCTCGAAAAGTGGGGGGGCGGTATTTTGCTGGGAAGTGTTAACCATAGTACAGTAATCTCTACTAATGCATCGAAAGATTAGAAACACTTAGAATGAAGAAGAAGAAGATCTTAGAAGAGAGAAGAGATAGAGAGAGAGAGATAGAAATCTTTATGTATATTTTCTTGTTATGTTTCTCATCGTTACATTCACTATATATCTTGTACAAGATTTAGTTACATTTATCCTTACCCATACAACTTGGACTAACTAACTAACTAATTCTTGTAATTTATCCTTTCACACTTTGACAAATGTCACAATCCTGATGACTTGATTATATACTCTAACATCCCCCCTTAGAGAAACCAAGCATAAGGTTGCTGCAATGTGTGTTAAAAAGAGGTGTACTGAGTCCCTTAGTGAAGATGTTTGCAAACTGTTCTGAGGAAGAAACAAATTGTACTAGAAGCTTCTTGCTTGCAACCCTTTCACACACAAAATGAACATCAACTTCAATGTGCTTTGTGCGCTGATGATTTACTGGATTAAAAGAAAGTGTTATAGCAGACATATTATCACAGAATAACACTGGAGGATCAGAAGGTTGGATCTGCAAGAATACAAGCAATTGTTGAATCCAGTCTAATTCAGCCGATGTGGTAGACAGGGCTCTATATTCAGCCTCAGTGGATGAACGAGAGACAATTTGCTGTTTCTTGGAGGACCAAGAGATTGGATTATTTCCAAGAAAAACAACCAAACCCGTAGTTGAACGTCTATCATTGGGATCCTTGGCCCAGTCAGCATCACTAAAGGCTTTAAGAAGCAACTTTCTTTTACTATAAGTAATCCCTTTAGACAAAGAACCTTTGAGATACCTTAATATCCGTTTAACTGCAGTGAAGTGGGATATCATTGGGGCTTGCATAAATTGACTAACCTGATGCACAGAGAAAGCAATATCAGGTTGGGTGAACACAAGGTATTGTAAGGCGCCAACCACACTCCGATAAAGAGCAGGGTTATTGAAAGGCTGACCATCATCTTTGGGGAGTCTATGATAAGGCAAACATGGTGTGACTGCAGGTTTGGCATCTGTCATGTCAGTCTTCTTCAATAAGTCAACAATACAATTTTCTTAAGACAAAAACAGTCCTTGAGCAGTTTTGGAAATTTGAATTCCTAAGAAGAAATGTAAAGGACCAAGATCCTTAAGCTCAAACTTGTTGGTTAACGTTGCAACAACCTGTTGAATAGCAAAGGATGCACTTCCAGTAATGATGATATCGTCTACATATGAGAGAAGAACCACAATAGCACCATTAACAAGTTTAACAAATAATGAAGAATCTGAAGTAGTGGTTTTGAACCCCAATTGTGGTAAGAACTGAGTAAACCTATCATTCCAAGCCTTTGGTGCTTGTTTAAGACCATATAGGGATTTATGTAACTTGCAAACCAGATAAGGAAATTGAGGATCCTCAAAACCTGGAGGTTGAGACATATAGACCTCCTCATTTAAAATGCCACGAAGA